AGTTCCAGCTCCCGTAACGGCTCCTCCCGCCGCCGCCGGCTGCTCCCGCCGATACCTCAACCCACTAGAACTTTCTCCCACTTCCGCTTCCGGGTCGCCTCAAGAGCCGCCTAAAAAAATTAAATTTGGCACTTCTAGCTGCTTAGAGCCATAGAGTTGAGGCGCTCTGGACCTCCACGGTAACCTTAGTAGACGCTCCTTTTCGGTCGACTCGCGGGAAGACGGGCTGCCTTGTTTGATTTCTCTTCTCGGGCAGCATTTCCGGTCTCAGAGCAGAGGCCTCGGTGAAGAAAACTTCTTTTCCCCGCTGCACGGCATCCGGAACTCAAGGACCTAGCGTTGGCCCACTTGGCGGCAGGAAGAGTTAGAGGGACGGACAAGAAGGGAGGAGGGTGGCCGGAGGCCTACGGCAGAGCGCCGGAAGTACTGCCCTTGGAAGAGTCCGACTCAGGCCGAATCGTGTCGGGCTTTTAGGAGTCGGGCAGGAACCGGAGACGCTAAAGACCTGAGTCCTAGCAAACTCCGCCGTCTAGCGCACCGGCCGGTTCATTTTCTGTGCTTTCATCGGCTCAGCCGCGAAGTGAGTCGTGGACCAGCCACTCCCTGCGTCCAGCCTCGAGAACGAACGAACGGGATCGTCCCAGCGGCGCCGTTGGGAGAAGAGGGCCAGCAGGTAGGTGTGGGTCTCTCGGCGTCTTTCCTCCGGGATGGGGGAGGAAGGCAGAAAACAACCGGAAGTAGCACTTGGGAGTTTTCCTTGGTAAACCGCCGGTGTTGGCGGTGCCAGTTCTTGTCATCTCAGAACTCGTCAGAAAGATAGTAGGTGCCCTGGACCGAGACCGCTCCCCTCGCCCTTTGATGGAGGCGTTCCTGGCTCGGACCGTGGCGGCGCTCTCCTCTCTGGCCTCTGCCTGTATTGTGTTGAGGTGGCGAGCATCTGTGTTGTGTGGCTGTGCTGCACTGGGGTGTACACGCATATCGAGGAAGATACCGCGTAGTTTATCTCTTCCCGAGCGATTGCCAGGATGATTTATTTAGTTTTTATGTTATGCCAGTACTTAAGATAACATGAGTTATTTTTATGTGCCATTCGCTGTTCTGAGTCCTTTGCTTACATCCTCTCATCCTAATAAATGCTCTGGGTTAGCTGTTATTTTTCTCGGAGACCTAGAGAATTGAACAGTAAGGATTGTCAACCTAAAAACTTTCAAACCTGCGGAGAATTTTTATAAGCATTTATTTGACCCAAACTGACAGCAGATGCCAGGGAGCAGGATCTTAAACCCTCCAGAAGTTAATAGTTTTGCAGTTTCACTTATAAATTTGAACTTAAGGATGAAGCTAAGGAAGATTACCAAAGGGTGGGAGAAAGCAAGGTGGGGATTGGGTTACAGGATCGTTAATGAGATTATATGCTCTCTTGAGGGTCAGGACTTAAAAACCTTTCATTAAAGAAGTTATAGGCCTGGGCCCTGGCCGGGTAGTTCAGTTGGTTACAGCGTCGTTCGGACACACCAAGAGAGTGGGTTTGATCTCCAGTCGGGGCACATACAAGAGGCAACCGATGAACACACAGCTAAGTGGAACAACAAATCGACATTTATCTCTTCCTTCTCTCTCTAAAATTAAAAGAAGTTACAGGCTTGGGGCGTGACTACCCACCATCACCTGCCCAGTTAGGAATTTATTATCAGATCACCTTGTGAGGTCACTTTCCATACAACCCCCTTTTTTTTGTTCACAGGAAATAGTCAAACGAAGATTTCAATTCACGCAATTAGATTTCAGAGCCACGTTCTTAACCAGGACACAGCCACTCCTCAGTAAAAGGTCCCAGCCCATCTTCAAAGCAGTCCTGGGTTCTGATCCTGCCATCCAAGGAACTCAGGAGAGGGGGACAGCCGCTGCCTCTCACCACCCTGGAACAGGACTGGCATGTCTCAGGCCACCAAGAGGAAGCATGTGGTGAAGGAGGTGCTGGGGGAGCATATGGTGCCCTCTGACCACCAGCAGATCGTGAAGGTGAGGAGCATTGGGCATAAGCTGCTCTGCCCCGACCCCTCCACTCCTGTTGGAGCCCTGGGGTGGGGGAGGTTGCAGCCAGCTCAGCGGGTCTTTGCGGTGGCTGATGAGGCCAACTGGTTCTCGGTCTCCCGAACCAGGTACTCAGGACCCCAGGGAACAATCTGCATGAAGTGGAGACAGCCCAGGGGCAGCGCTTCCTGGTAAGCATGCCCTCCAAATACCGCAAGAACATCTGGATCAAGAGAGGTGAGAGGGGCAGCTCTCTAGGAGTTAGAACCATTTCCTGTGGCCTTGGCTTCCGCCACTGCAAGCTGGACTGACTGGCCTCTCCTCTCTGCCTGCAGGGGACTTTCTCATCGTTGACCCTATTGAAGAGGGAGAAAAGGTGAAGGCTGAGATCTCCTTCGTGCTCTGCAAAGACCATGTGCGCTCTCTGCAGAAGGATGGGCTCTGGTAGGTGGTCCCCTGGGTCACTGGCTGCGAGATTTCTGGGAGGGATTGACTTAGCTGTGAAATGAGGGGCGGAAAGATCATAGCACCCCAGGCAGGGACAGCTGGGAACAGCTTTGATGCTGAGAGATTTCTCTGTTCTTTCTGACCCTGGCTTTTCTCCTGATACAGGCCAGAGGCCTTTGAGGTGGCTGAGAAACACAATAACAACAGGAACAGGTGAGGTTCAAGCCTTAGGGTAGAGGAGACAGAAAAAGGGGGTTCAAGCTTTAGTGCCTTGGGGAAATAGAGCCTGTCTTTCTCCCTGGTGAGAGCTCCTCAATATGTGGTTCTACGTGTGTGGATAAATTCTGTGGGTTAAAATCCTGGCTTTGCCACATAAATTGGGGACTGGACACAGGTTACTTCATCTCCTAAGCCTGCATTTCCTCACCTATGAAATAGGAGCCTTGTGAGGATTAAAGGAGCTAATGCTTATAAAATTGCTTAGTATGGTATTTGTATGTAATGTGGGTCCAGTGCATGTTGGTAAGTAGAACACTTATTATTAAAACCAGTGGCTCTAGTAAACTTCTGAGGGTGGGGCTGGGGTTGTCTTTAACCTGTTTTCCTTGGCCAAGTTTTCCTGCTGTTTGCTCCGACTGCCTGTCTGACTTGCTGGGCCCTGACTACTGGGCCATAGGGTCCTCCTTTTTGTGGGGATTTTTCGTTTGCAGATCTTGCTTTCCCAGAAGGCATTGGGCTAACTCTGTCCTTTTCCCCCATGAAGACCAACTCAGCCAGAACTCCCAGCTGAGCCACAGTCATCGGGAGAAGGGTCCAGCTCCGAAGATGATTCCGACCTCTTCGTTAACACCAATCGTAGACAGTATCGCGAGAGCGAGGAGGAGAGCGAAGAGGAGGAGACAGCCTGAGGCTGCAGGACCCACTTTTCCTCCTCTGCCCTTGGACAGCTCCAGGGTGCTCTGCAGGTCTTCCCCCCAATGGGGACAAGGCAGGACTCCTCTCTGAACTGACCTTCTGACCCAGGAGAATTAAACCCCTGGTGGGTGGTGACTTGTGCTAGTGTCCGAGTGGCTCTCTGGAGGGAGAAGGGACCTGTGGTACAGTTAAAAATTGCTCCTTGGTAGAGGTCTCACGGGCAGGAAATAGGGAATGGCTGGACATTTTGAATGAATTTAAATTGAGGAGGGAGCTAAGGTTTCCTAGGTTCTCTCTCTCCTCCCCCCCCTCTCTCTATCTCTCTCATTGGGCACTTAGTTAGTGGCGGGCCCTGTGCTGTCCCTCCTTGCATGTACTTGATAAGTGGGAACAGTCCCACTTTATTGCCTGCTCGCAGCCAATCCTGATTCAGGCTTTCAGGATCACAGCCATAGGACTAGTCCCCCGTTGCCTCTAAGAAACACTCAGGGTGAATTTCAGAGTACCTCGTGAGCTGATTTCCCTGCATTTCTAGTCACCATGACTGCAGGAGTGCCCACCTCCACGCTGCTGTGTACATCCCCTGGTTGCTGGACCCTTGTGGCAATTTAGACCATCATTCCTCAGCCCTCTTGTAAAACACATCATCCCACTTATCTCTCTCTCTCTCTCTCTCTCTCTCTCTCTCTCTCTCTCTCTCTTAACCTCTGGCTATACATTACTCCTCATTGCTGGTGTTGACCTTGTAGTCTCTCCTCAGACTAGAAGAGTTTATCTCCTGGCTTAGAGTCTTTTACCTCTGCTTAGTCATTTTCTACATCCCATGGATGGGCCTGTTTAGCACTGTGGCTCTTTAGTTCCTTGATAATCCCCATCACTAATGCGGGTCTTCTATTCCAGGCCTGCTGCCTACATCTCTACTCCCTGGACCCCTGATATCAGTAGAAATTGTAGTACCTTTAGAAGTCAAATACCTGTACAGTCACCGCCTTCTGGCTTGCTTGTTTACTTGCTCAACTACCCTTTCTGCAGAAATTCTTTATTTTCATCCTCCAGCTCCACCACATTCCCACCGTTATTCTATCTTCGCTTTCCTCCTTCTGCAACCTGTATTCCATGGCCCACACCCTCCACTCCCTTGTCTTCCTTCATTGTATTCAGCTACTAAAACCTAACCCCAGCCAATCCAATCATTCACCTCTGTGCCTGTAACTATTAGAGAAAACCACCAACTGGGCTCACTTGTTTTACCTTAAATTTATAATTGTAAACCTCAAACCCTCAGCACTGCCTAGCAGATCAACTCGGGTGCATTTTGAAACTTCTTATCTTGTCTATCTATTCCCTCTTCCCCTGCTAGTTACCACAGCTTATACTTCATTAAGAAATAGTAGGCCGTCCTAACTGGTTTGGCTCAGTGGATAGAGCATCAGCTTGTGGAGTCAAGGGTCCCAGGTTCAATTCCGGTCAAGGACATGTACCTTGGTTGTGGGCACATCCCCAGTAGGGGGCGTGCAGGAGGCAGCTGATAGATGTTTCTCTCTAGTGGATGTTTCTAACTCTCTATCCCTCTCCCTTCCTCTCTGTAAAAAATCAATAAAATATATTAAAAAAAAAAAAGAAATAGTAGGCCACCCTGCTGGTGTGGCTCAAGTGGTTGGCATGCCATCCCATACACCAAAGGTGGTGGATTGAATTCTTGGTCAGGATACATACCCGTGGGGCAGGTTTGATCCCCAGTCAGGGTATGTGTGGGAGGCAACTGATCCATGTTTCTCACATGGATGTTTCTTTCTCCCCTCTCTCTAAAAATCAATAAAACTATATATATCTATACATATAAAAGGCTAAGTGGCCATCCAACCAGCCGGTAGGTATGACACGCACTGACCATCAAGGGGCCGATGCTCAACATAGGAGCTGCCAGCTGTGGTGACTTGGCAGCA